CACTCCGAATTAAGATATAGCTAGGCAAGAGTTGGTGGTAGATGGTGTTGATAAGCTTCCTTCTATCTAGTTTATCACTCCAAATTAAGATATAGCTAAGTCCAGAGTTGGTGGTAGATGGTGTTGATAGGCTTCCTTCTATCTAGTTTATCACTCCGAATTAAGATATAGCTAGGCAAGAGTTGGTGGTAGATGGTGTTGATAAGCTTCCTTCTATCTAGTTTATCACTCCGAAATTAAGATATAGCTAGGCAAGAGTTGGTGGTAGATGGTGTTGATAAGCTTCCTTCTATCTAGTTTATCACTCCAAATTAAGATATAGCTAGTGCAGACACTTTTCTTGCCTACATGATAAATAGAATGTGATGATAAACTTGCAGCAGAATAATGTTTGAGCTGTGAATCTGTTAGAGAAGAATGGAAGTCTTTGATTAGTAGTGTTGAAGAAGTATGATCTCGTGGTGTTTTATTCTACAGTGCTGATGACGTGTAAAGGTATCTGTTGTCAGTAGTTCTAAGAATAAAGATCCTTGAGAGCAATACTGTAGAAATGTAATAGTCTGTAATTACCAGTATTGCAAAATGTAAAGATATTTGATAAAATAATATTGCAGAAGAATAAAGATCTCTTATTTGTAATGCTGACAATATGTGATGGTCTCTGATTAATAGTATGGAAGCAGAGTAAAGATCTTCAGAGAATCAATATTCTAGAAGTGTAATGGTATATGAAATGTATAATTTGTGTTAAGATATATAATACTGTGTTATTAACCATACTCTAATGTTGATTTTAAGTGCCAGGTTTAAAATAAGAATTGAATTTCAACTTAATGTAGCTTATACCATAACAGTTCTTGTTCATGCAGTATGATAATATTGTCTCATAGAGTACTGACTGATGTATATCAACCATTCTGATAAGCCCTGGTAGTAAGCAAAGGACCTTGTTGGTACTGCATATAGTAGATGTAGTGTAATTGACATTGTTATATATTATTATTCACTTTCAATCAGAACTTCTTAGGGTTATCAGTTATGCTTAAGCATTTTATGATTAGAAACAATTTCTAAATGTAAATGTCTGATCAGTAGTAATTCCAACGCATAAATGTGTTTGATAAGTAAAGTTTTAAAGACCTCTAACCATCTATTAACAGTGTCCATAAGTTACCTGTGAGACAATTAGCCATATTCTGTGTATTAAGAATCTTGGGTAAAAGGATTGGTTAGGTTATGTAGTTATCCTTTTAGTGTTCTATCCATGTCTAAAAAAAAATTTTGTTGGCTAATATACTATTCTGACAAAAAAAAGTTTTCTCAGATTTGAGAAAATGTTCGTTGCATGTGTGTCACCACTAGAACTTCCAATTCTTTTGTTCGTATCTGGATTGTGTGTGTTTGTGTAATTGAATTGAAAATATCAAAGCACTTTCAAAATATAGATTGCCTATTGAAATTAATGGACAAATGTAATTTTAACCTTTTCAAGATACTCAAACTAGAAATGTGGACAAGTATAAAACATTTATATAGAGACCAGTAGTTGTTAATGACATCATATGTGTTGTACATATTCATTGTGTAAAAACAGATGCAGTTCTTTCTTATGCTATTTTACAAATTTTTTTTACATTTCATTAGTTACTTTGCAATTGTGAAGTTTTACATAATTAAACATATTACTGGTGCATTGTTTTTATAAACAGTTTAGAATGTCATTTCTGAAATTACTAACTTATTTTTATGCTTTGTTCACTACCAGTGTCATCCACATTTTAAGTAATTTTATTTTTATGTCTTAGAGCACCTAAGTGAAAATAACTGTCCATAATAAATAAATTTGTTATATAAAATATAGCAGTAATTAGTGAGATTAATTGTAATATTGATGTGTGTTTTTTTGTTTTTTTTATTAGTGAACCTGTAACCAACAGTCATGGACACACAATTTTGTTTGACAAATAGTTTAGAAAAACAAGTTTAATAAGCTGATTGTATGAATATATGGAAGGTTTTCATATATAAATAATGGATAACTTCTTTACAGCCTTGTTGGCCCAGCAGGGGACTGTTACTCAACAGGAAAGTGCCAATGTCAGATACAAAACATAGCCTGCAGCAGTTGGTAAGTATATCTTTGATGTATTTAGTTAGCACTTTTGCTCAACCTAAAATTCAGATGGTTGATTTTGTATGGATGACTTTCAGGAAGTCTGTACTTGTGTCTACTCTTTCACTTGTTTATGATTGACTTACACACATGAAAAGCTAGCTAGAAAAAGATGCACTTTTTAGGTGTATGTATGTGTGTTTGTGTGTGTGTGTGATCTATAACATAAATGGATTTTTTACATGCATGTGGGTATATGGACAATCACACAGTAATATTACTTTATCTAGTTCAAATTGTAACATGCAATATTCATGAAGGTTGATAACATAAATATCTCTTACATTCTAGCTGGCCTGATTGGTGGGGGGGGGGCAGCTGTAACTTGGTTGACATATCATATTCTACTTTGCTTTCACTAGACATGTGTACACATTATTTAAATGGGTTAGTTCTTTGTAAGCATCTAAACTGTAGCATGTTATATCTGTGTTGTTATAGTATTTAAACATCCAGACTGTAGCATGAGTTATCAACATTTTATGACGTGTGTGTGTGTTTGAGCATTCAAACCATAAATCAATTATTTCCATACGTTAATACTTATTTATATCCAGACTGTAACATGCTGTTAACATGGTGAGGCACGGGTACACTCAGACTGTTACATACTTTAGAATATTTCTATCTGGTAGCACATATCTGTATTTTAACATGGGTTAGCACTTTCACTGTCATAGGCACGTAAATGGGACATATTATAACCTATGTTATATTAATCACGTGAAAGTTTGGATATTTGTACCACTGTGAAGAAAGAATATTGCCTTTCAAACTTACCAGAATTTACCAGTTTAGTTTCAAATAAGTAATGAAATATAAAAATGTCTTTTTGTTTTTTTTGTTATGTATCTAGAAATAAATCTGCCATTGAAAGAACTGTTTATCTGTAATATTTTAATTAACTATCTTCATGTGTAGATGAACATGAAAACCATCATATATTTTCTAAGGATATTTGAACATTAACACATATATCTCCAAATGTGTTAATGCATAAATAAAGTACAAGTTATATGCATATGTTAGTTTATGAAAACGTAACCCATAAATGTTTTTGTGTGTGTGTGATGAGGTGTGTATAAGCATTTAGACAGTAACTGTTGTTTTGATGGAGTGTGTAAGAACATCGAGACAGTTGACTGTTTTTATAAAGGGTTGTTTGAATACCCAGATGGTAACCTGTTTTTAATAAAGGGTTGTGTGAACATCAAAATTTTGTAGTGTTACTGTATGTATCTTTTTGTCTTTGAACATCCATATCTAAACATCTCTAAGTTTCAAGGAAATGTGTGTGTGTGTGTGTTACTTCTTCAGTCATAATAGACAACCTATTATATGTACTTTTTCATATTAATATAGGAATGGTGGGAATAGATAGCAAAGTTGATGCAGCTGTTTTTAGAATGTGTTGATAATGTCTTACCTTCATGTATCAGGTACCTAGTGAATGAACTCTTAAGGTCATTGCTCGACTCATAGGAAGTGTGAAACATACACATGTTCTCTTTTCCCAGCAATGTACATGTATGTTTGAGAGGGAGATCACATTATAATTGAAGTTGTGTTGATTTTTTCGTGCTAGGAAAATAAAGGGTAATTTCTGCTTTGTTAAATATACAGGTGTATGTAACTCCTATATTTATTTAACTATTATATTTTTGTATTTTTTGTAAATTTGCAACATTTTATATTGCATTATGGGATTTCAGATTTTTTTTTGCTTTTATTATACATATTTTTGGATTGAAACTCTAAATACAAGTTGTTTTTTAAGTGGATAGTTGTCATATAAAAATACTTTGTCATAGTATGGTTGTTATGTATTTTGTAAATAATGACATACACCATGGTTCTTTTGAAGTTAGTTTCATTATATTTCATGTTATGATGATGTTGTTGTTATTTTACATTTAAAAAGATTACTGTGCACTGCTTGCATGAACTTAAGGCTCAACTTAATTTCACAAGTTATTCAAATCTTCTGAGATTATTAGAATTAATAGTGAGAATACCCAAATGATGAGTTGGTGCATTTGAATCATTTTACATTTGTTTTCTTGTGTATTGATTTATGACACTATGTACTTCTACTTAGACTTTTTACATAGAATTCAATTCTTTAATTTATAAGTTACATTATTATCAGGTTGTCAAGAAATTAATGTTGTATTTTGGAAAACTTTTATTAACCACCCCCTAAAAACGTACATCACCTATAATAGTTAAACGTTTAGTATATTCTAATCCCTTATGTTGAGGGAACACGACTAGACACACATTTGACATGTAATGCTGTTTAAATACAAGAAGGGAAAAAATGCCTCTGTAGTCACAAAGAATATCAAAGAAGTTTGTGAAAATGTTTTGAATGTTCGTAGGTATCAATGGTGGTTCAGCAAATTTCTTTCAGGTGACTTTAGCCTTAAAAACTGTGATGGCAAGGGCCGACATGTTGGAATTGATATTGATGCTCTGAAGATGCTTGTTGAGTCTAACCCAAGACAGCACACTTGTGAAATGGCCCTGAAATTGCAT